AGTTAACATCCCTGCATCTTTGCATAAGCACTTGGACAGCGAATAGAGCTTCTCGGGTGCCTAAGGAATCGCGGAATCCATTTATATCCATATATTATATTAATTTTGGTTAAATATCAGAAACATTTGAGTATTTACTGATTACAAATTTAAAAAATGTTCTGCTCTCCTTAAAAAGTAAGAAAATGGACATAGTGTCCATTACCTCCGAGGTACGGCTATTATTTCGTAAAAAAAGATTTAAATTGTAATAATTAATGTATATTATTTATATAAATATAATATTATAATTTTACACTCCAGATCTGTTTATTTAAACTAAATTATGATTAATTTTAAGAATCCATTTCCATCCCACCATTTTCAGAGACTCTTTAAGAAGACTTTGGCTAATAAATGGTTTTGAAACGAATGTTTTTGTACTTTTTAAGAAGAATTAATAATTATTATTAGATATTTATATAAATAATATACATTAATCAAAAAAATTTGTTAAAATCCTTTATAAAAGGTATATAAAATTGCCTCAAACGGGCTATCACAAACACATTGCAAAACGTTTTCGGATTAAACAATCCATCATCAGTGCAGACGGTTGTACATGCTAGTAGCCACCAAAATATATGGGTAAAAACCCCTTAAAAGTTATAAATTTGACATTATTTTACATTATTAGTTTTTATAGTTTGTGATGGTTAAGTTACCGTTGGATAGGTAACATGGCGGCGTATGACTCTGAGTCATACGCCGCCATGTTACCTATCCAACGGTAACTTAACCATCACAAACTATAAAAACTAATAATGTAAAATAATGTCAAATTTATAACTTTTAAGGGGTTTTTACCCATATATTTTGGTGGCTACTAGCATGTACAACCGTTTGCACTGATGATGGATTGTTTAATCCGAAAACGTTTTGCAATGTGTTTGTGATAGCCCGTTTGAGGCAATTTTATATACCTTTTATAAAGGATTTTAACAAATTTTTTTGTGATATATGGTATACAGCCAGCTACAGGAACTTAGTTTCCTCGTGGAATTATACATTAATCAATAAAATATAAATATTTTGTACGAAATATTAGTAAAATTAATCTTTTTTATGGAAAAATTAAGTAATTTATGTTTGCGAGATTTTCTGATTTTTTTTTCGAGAAGGGAAAATAGCACATTCTTATTAGTTGATAGAGCTACCGCAATTTACAAAAAAAGGAATCTTCTGCGTGTCGCAGTAACCGAGATTTTTCAGCACGCTCCGATTTGAAGTTCCATTCTAAGAAAAACGGAGCTCGGCAGGCGAGTACCATCACTTTAACGGGTTATACTTTCTTACTCCTCAGTATGTTTCATCTATAAAGTGGATCATAAAATCTAGATCTTTCTTTATAATCTCTTTAATTTTTAGCTCTTAATGTTAATAAACAATGAAAATATCATATGAAAAAATTGCCATTTTGGTGTCCATTGGTCTTAGAAAGTTTTTTTTTAAGATTTTGTTTTTTCATCATCTTTTCAGTGATCTTGCTCACAAGAGCGTGACATAAAAATATTAAAGTTATTGTAAATATTTATCAGCTAAAAAGACTTTTCAGGTGGTTGTTTTAATAATGATTTTGCTGAAATGTTAAAATTTTAATATATCTTACAATTAAAGCCTCAATGAATCAATTGCGATCTGCTTAATAGCTCTAGAGTCATTGTTTGGGCAAGTACAGTTGTTGAATAATAGCTCTCCCTGATTAACAAATTAAATAACTTACGAACTAATGACCCCTAAAATCATACGAACGAGCTGAATTTTGCCGAGAATATTAATTTTGGGACCCCAAAAAAGATTAATAAAAGTTTACCACTTTTATCCCTGGGCTTCCCCTTAAAACCCCATCGTATGGGTGTAAAACGCAAAAAAATCGATTTGTCAAGAATCTGTACGTTGTAGAAAAAAATGTTTCAAATAAAAAATGTAGCTGAGACTTGAAGCGATTATCAATTTTGAATATCAGTTACGCGCGCGAAATCAATGTTCAATAAAATTTGTATCAGCCTGACGGTAAAAATTCGATATTTTTTGATTGAAGTGTCCTATCGACAAAAATCAAGATGCGTTTTAAAGGTAAAGAATACAGCTTTCGTATGTAGTTTGTATTCTGCCGCGAATAAACTCAGTTTTTATAAAGGCGCATCTTTTAAGGATCCCAAAATTAATATTCTCGACAAAATTCAGCTTGTTCGTATGATTTTAGAGGTTCAGTGGCATTATCGTCTCTGACGACTGGAGTAAAATACCTTTTAGAACCTTCAAAAACCTGTATAAGATTTTTTCAGCTGTTTTTTTCTTTACTGTCCTAAACTATTAATTTGCAATAAGTAATGGATAATAACTGTATAAGATCAGTTAAGGCTTATCCAGGCGCAGATGTTTCTTCAGATCATAACCCCCTGATAGCGCGGGTACACATTAGACTCAAAAGACCTTCAAATAAAACAAAAATAGATCACATAGATACCAGCCGCTTACAAGATCCAACAATTAAAGAAGATTTAAAACAACATATCAATGATAACTTACGAATGCTTTCTACAAAGACAGAGAACACGCATGTAGAAGACAACTGGCAAGATTTAAAAGACGCCATAATAAAACCTGCCCAGAAAATGCTTACCAAAGAGAAACAGAAAAAAGGACGAGAATGGATAACAGAAAAAATTTTAGGTCTCATGGAAGAGCGAAGACAGTTAAAGGGAAAATGCAGCCAAAAATATAATGAAGTAAACAAACAAATCAGAAAAGAAATAAAAACTGCAAAGGAATATTTTTATACAAGAAAATGCGAGGAAATCGAAGAACTACATCTCAAACATGACACTTTTAACTTACATAAAAAGATAAAGGAACTGACAGGTACACAAAAACGAAAACATCCCAATCTCCTATGCAACGCAAATGGTGAAATAATAGCCGATCTACAAGAAAAGCTTAGGACCTGGAAGAACTATGTAGAAGAATTGTTCGACGATGAAAGACAAGAACCTAATATAGATAACTTGCAAGGCGACGAAGGACCAGAAATAACTAAAGAAGAACTATTATACGCTATAAAAATAATGAAAAATGGTAAATCACCGGGTCCAGACGGGCTCACATCAGAACTTCTTAAGCTTGTGGAAGGCGAATCAGTGAATATTCTACTCGACCTTTTTAACTGCATCTACAAAAGAGGAGAAATACCAAAGGAATGGCTACTTTCAACTTTTGTAACCTTACCAAAAAAAGGCAAATGCAAAACAGTGCACTGACTACCGCACTATAAGCTTAATGGGGCATACATTAAAAGTATTCATCAAAGTAATCCACTCAAGAATTATTAACAGAAAACTAGATGCAGATATTAGTAATACTCAATTCGGATTTCGGAACGGGCTTGGAACAAGAGAAGCACTATTTGCACTTAACGTCATATGCCAAAGATGTCTAGATATAAACCAAGATATATATATGTACTTTATTGATTACAACAAAGCGTTTGATAAAGTTCGTCACGATCACTTAATGAAACTGCTAGTAGAAAAAAACTTGGATAAAAGGGACATTAGAATTATCTCTAAGATTTTCTATAACCAGAAAGCAAATATCCGAATAGAGCAAGAGACAACGGAGGAAATCGAGATCAAGAAAGGCGTAAGACAGGGTTGTATACTCTCACCGACCTTATTCAATCTATACTCCGAAGACATTATAAACACAGCACTTTCGGATCAAAATACAGGTATTAAGATAAATGGCATCCGAATAAACAACTTGAGATATGCCGATGACACGGTACTAATCGCAGAAACTTGGGAAGATCTTCAAATACTAATTAACAAAATAGTAGAATGCAGTGAAGAACACGGATTATCACTTAACATAAGCAAAACAAAAATAATGCTAATATCTAAATCACCACAAAACTTCCCTGACATAACCGTGCATGATCAAAGAATCGAACGTGTAAGAAGATATAATTACCTGGGAACTGTTATCACCCAAAATAATGATTGCTCTGAAGAAATCAGAACCAGAATAGAGAAAGCTAGAGCCACATTTACTAAATTGAAAAAGGTGTTCTGCGGAAGAGATCTAAGTCTAAAACTTAAAATTCGCCTTTTGAGATGTTACGTTATGTCAGTTCTCCTCTACGGGATGGAAACATGGACATTGAAAAAGATCGATACCAAAAAGATAGAAGCATTTGAGTTGTGGATGTATCGTAGAATATTAAGAATACCCTGGACAGAGAAAGTAACAAATGTGGAGGTTTTGCGGAGAGTGCGGAAAGAGAAAGAGCTGATACTGTTAAAAAGCGCAAACTACAATATTTGGGACATGTTATGAGGGGAGATAAATACCAGTTGCTGCAATTGATTATACAGGGAAAGATAATGGGAAGGAGATCTATAGGAAGAAGAAGGCATTCATGGTTGAAAAACTTGAGAGAATGGTACAATTGCACCAATTACCAACTGTTTAGATCTGCAGCATCAAAAATACGCATAGCTTTGATGATAGCCAAACTTCGGAACGAAGACGGCACTTGAAGAAGAAGAAGAATGGATAATTACACAACTTTTAACGGGATATAACTCCGGAGTCTATATATTATAATTGAAAGTTTATAAATGTAGAACTGAGGAGACTTATATTCTTGGAAATTCATTTTTATATGTAGTAAATAAATGCATATCATATTTTTTGAACATTCCATTGTATTTGCTTACACATGACAAGTTTCATTACACTGTATAGTCTTCAGATGTGATCATACTGCATTTATAGATGACACACATTTTTTCATAGAATCTGGTATCGCATATAAAAAAATGATATAAAAATATTGTTTGGTACTTGAATCCAATGATACCTTTAACACCACATATATGTCAACAAATCTACTTAAGCTGTTTTTGGAATTCCAAATATTAATCGACACTATTTTTTGTATATAACTTTTTACTCACCTGTGCTGTTGAATCTTAAAACGCTGAAAGTGATTTGCTTGGCACCAGCAGCGACCTTGAAAATGTTTTTCATGAACTCTGTAGCCGCCACAGAACTTTCTTTTGTATCATCTATCAACACACCAATAGGCCTTAATGAATTGTAGCTTTTCAAAAATCTTCTGAAAGGTTCGTTTCTATTCGGAAAATTCTCAATTCGCCCCATAATTTCCGGGGTATTTGAGAAAACCTCCACTTGGTCACTGGGAAAAAAACTTTCCGTTGCAAAAATGCTTTGTGACGCGAAGACACACGGTATAACGATCAACGGTATTATTCCGAACATTGTCTGTGATTGAAAGAGAACTGACTAATTATAATTAGTGTTTGTACTTTTGTAGATGAAGGTGACAAATTTGTGGGTAAGGCAGGATATTGTTTAACTTGAAAGTGAAAATATTACTGATTATTTTTCTGGTGATATGAATGGACCTAATTTGGATCACTTATTTAGAAGAGCCACATGATTACGATTATGAAAACCGCAAGTGTGAAGGAGTACTTTTCGTTTTATCAGGAATATATTCAAGCAATCATTCTAAATAATTGTTTAAATGAGGTCAAATTTGAAAACATATGAGTAAATTATTTAGGTCCATTGCTAGGAGACATAAGGAGGACCATAAATATTACGAAGAAATTAAATCAAATTTAGCTCTCTATTTTAATTTATTCATTTTTCTTATTTTACCTTATTTGATTCATTTCAATTATCTTACATGTCTTACTTTATTGTGCTTTGTTTGTATCTTGTGTTACCTTATTTATTTTATTTTCACTTTATTCTCATTTATTTTCATCTTTAAAGCATCTTACCAAAAAAAGCCCGGGGTACTATTGTGTTGTACTACTGTACCACTGCAGTGGTACGGTGTAATAGGATCTGCCGATTGCCCGAGTAGCAGAGACGACAGATTGATGACAGAGAGTCATCAACTTAGGTTGGTGTTCCTTTGTTGGAAACACACACTTTTTTAGGGACTGAAGGCCCAAATCATGTTGGAGTAACTTGTATAGAGTCAGTAAAGTAAATAGGAATTTGTGTGTTAACCCTACAGCTAGGTGGCCTAACCACAATCATGAAAAACAGAGGGTGTTCCATTACCCCCGACATCCAAAGTAACATTCAGATCATAAACGTCCCCACGTAAGTTGGCGAGGGGTGGAGGAAAAGCATGGGGGGTCAGATAGGTACCACTTCATAGCGAGGTGTTACCGATTTGATCTTCGGACATGTGGATGCTACTGTACCTGTAGGGTAGGATTGATCACTTGCGTGTGTATGGGAGACAATAAGTTTCTGTTTACATATAAATCATAAAAAGTATACAGGGTGTCCCATAATTAATTGGACATTAGCTAATGGGTGATAGCTGACATCAAAATAAAGCGTTTGAGCTCAAATTGCTTAGGCAAAATGTTGCTAGTTTTCGTTCTACAGGGTGATTCATTAATATTTTTTTATATTATTTTTAGGGATATATTGAAAACTATTCAACCGATTTAAGTAAAATTTGGTATCTTGCTGTTATTTAGTATGCTTAATATGAAAATGATATTAGTTTTACCGATGACACTAGGTGGCGCCACCTACTATAACATTGGTTCATTAATGGGGCCATATTTTTTTCCCGCCCTGTATAAACATTCTAGAAAAAAAAACATGAATTAACATTCAATTCTACACAAAAAAGGTATTCTTGTTTCAAATCAAAAAAGTACACCGTTTTCGAAATAAACGTATTTTTTAGAGACGTGCATAAAAAAAAATTACAAAAACTGTAAATTCAAACATTATTCAAAAGGTCTTAAATAAAAGTGAATATTAAATGTATTAGTAGTAGATAATTTTTGCAAACAAAATGCATATGATTGAAACAATTATTTTTATTAAACCTTTGACTCAGTAATAAATTTTAAAAAAATCAGAAATTAAATTAAACAATGAAGTGAATATAAAACAATTAACAAAGTGAATAATTCAAAACGAAACGAAAAAAAAAATACAATAAGTGTTCTAAATGTGCACCATTAGATAAACTACATAATCTAAATATTTTGTGTAAGTTTTGTCTTATTTTAAATAATGAGTTTCTTTGGGCCCTAATTACGTTAACTCCCTCGACAATATTTTGCCATAACTCTTGGCGGTTATTTATTTTTTTTATAAACAAGTGACTTTAGGTAGCCCCACAACTGAAAATCTAGGGGATTTAGTTCGGGACTGCGTGCTGGCCATGGGTATACACTACATCTATCAATCCACCTTTGAGGATAAATTTCATCTAGATAATTTCTAACTTCTAGGCTATAATGTGGTGGTGCATCATCATGCATGTACCAAGAGTTCCGTCTCAAATTTAGAGGTATGTCAAAGAGTTGGTAAATCTTTTCTCAAAAAATTTAGATACGTTACTCCGTCAAGCCTAGTTGTTAATTCGAATGGTCCTACAATACAATCCCCAAATATGCCACACCAGATATTTATGGAAAACTCGTGTTAAAAATGATGTTCTTGAAATGCATGAGGATTTTCTATCGCGTAGGTATGGCTATTACGCCAGTTAAATACACCCCTTCTAGTATATGTGGCTTCATCGGTAAATAACATTTTGTTATAAAACATTGGATCGTCTAAATGCCGCCCCATTATAAACTGACTAAATTGGAGCCTTGCTGGAAAATCCTGTGGTAAAAGATTCTGTACTGGAGTAAAACGATACAGATACAGATTTTCTGTCCGTATTATTCTTGACACCGTAGATTTGCTTATACCAGTGGCCGCAGAAACAAGCCTTGTACTGGTTTCTGGATCGTCTGCAACACGCACAACAATTTCATCCTCCATATCCGCATCAATTACTCTCGGTCTTCCAACATTCATGTTTTTGGGATGAAATGACGCTGTTTCGCCTAATCTGTCGAACTATGATCTAATAGTTTTATGGTTTGGTTGCCTTCTATTGGGATAAAGTTCGAAATAGAGTTCAGCTGCTTTACGAGAACAAAAATTTTCCTGGGCATACAAACAGATCATATCGCGCATTTCTACGTTAGAAAATTCACTATGACGTGGCATTTTTCCTTTATCTTAAGTGGTTTATAAAAAACTTAATAGCACTTTGACAAATAATGACTCGCACTGCACTTTGACAACTAATAATAAATAAATTCGTAGTTACCTTTGACAACTAATAATAAATAAATTTGTAGTTACGTCTTGACGTTGTCATTAAGTTCAAAGCATACTTGTTTTGCAAAAAATTAAATAGAGACATGCATCATTAACAAAATACGTTTATTTCGAAAACGGTGTACTTTTTTATTTGAAACAAGAATACCTTTTTTGTGTAGAATTGAATGTTATTTCATGTTTTTTTCCTAGAATGTTTATACAGGGCGGACAAAAAAATTATGGCCCCATTAATGAACCAATGTTACAGTAAGGGGCGCCACCTATTGTCAATGATAAAACTAACATCAGTTTCTTATTAAGCATACTAAATAATAGCAAGATACCAAATTTCACTTAAATCGGTTGAATAGTTTTCAATATATCCATAAAAATAATATAAAAAAATATTAATGAATCTCCCTGTAGAACGAATACTAGCAACATTTTTCCTAAGCAATTTGAGCTCAACCGCTTTATTTTGATGTCAGCTATCACCTATTAACTAATGTCCAATTAATTATGGCACACCCTGTATAAGTTACACAATGTGATGTTGGGTTCTTTCTGTGTTAACCCAACTAATTTTCTATCTTGTATTTACAAAACTACAGATGGATACTTTTGTATTTTATTTTAAACAAACTAAACAATTACAGTTTTACCCAAATTGCGTTGAAACAATTTCCCGTTACTACATGTCAGCAATTGTCTTAATTAATTCTCATTGTCTATTTACATCCATTCAACATACCCTTATGTTTATCAATATTGTCTATATTATGACGTTTTGGCATTGAACTGAATTCCAATCCACGTCGTGAATATTCAAATATATCTATCTGGGACACGCCACACCTCCCACCGAAAAAAAAATGAAAGTAATGGGCGAACGTTCAATTTCATTTTCCATCTGCTCATTTTTACCTTATAATTACACACACTATTTGTTTTCTTCTTCTTCTAGGTCCATGACCGTTATCGATCGTTGGATATCGTGTTGGCTACTATATTCGCTATCGTGACTTTATTGACAGCAGCTCTAAATAACGATGTAGTTGATTTTCCATACCATTGCCTTAGATTTTTCAGCCATGATGTTCTTCGTCTACCAGGACCACGATTACCTTGGATCTTTCCCTGAATGATCAGATGTAAAAAATCATATTTTTTCATAATGTGACCGAAGTATTCCAGCTTGCGTTTATTTATTATATTGACCAGTTGTGTTGTTTGGCTCAGCCGTCTAAGGACCTCCTCATTTCTAACTCTGTCGACCCAGCTTATTTTCAGTAGTCGTCTGTATACCCACATCTCAAAGGCTGTCAAGCGTTTAAGCATAGCCTCAGTTAGAGTCCACACTTCCACTGCATACAGCAGGACAGGAAAGATGTAGCAAGATGCCATACGAACTCTAAGGTCAATGCTAAGATCCTGACTGCAAAGTACGTTTCTCATTTTTACAAAGGCAGCTCGGGCTTGTTCTATTCGGCTTTTAATTTCTGCGGTTGGATCCCAGCTCTCATTGATATTACTGCCGAGATACACGAGTTTCTCTACTCTGTCCAGTGTGGCATCTTAGTTGCTCAAGTTGCAGCAATACGCATTTTTTTTAAATATTCTTGCCATAAATCTTGTTCCTTGGTCTGTGACTATTCTTCTGGGTACTCCATACCTCAAAATGACATTTTCTGCCAATTATTTGGCTACTGTTTCGGCTTCTTTGTTTTGTATTACGTATCCTTCTATGTATTTTTTTTTAATTTGCATTGTAATGTCAGTATATATCTGTTCCCATTATCTCCACCTTAAATGGGCCTACCAGGTCTATAAATATCGTGTCAAACGCTGGTGGCTGTCGATGTGATAGTCATGGGTTCTTTGGTCATGATCGAGCTTATGCCTTTGGCAGTCGTCGCATCTCTTCATATATTTCTTAACATCTCTCTGTAATCCGTTCCAGAAATAGTTTTTTGTTATATTCTTATACGTTCTATTTATTTCTGCATGTCCTCCTGTAGGTAACATGTGGAAATAGCTAAGTCCACTTAAGTCCATTTTCTGTTCGATTTTTTTTAAGCCTATATTTGCAACAGACATGTTTTGATAGTGTGCAAACATAACCAGTCATTCTCACCTT